AATGTATGTTTTTAATTGCATATATATCTATATATATATATCTATATATATATATAGATATATATAATCTCCAACTAGGGTGTGTTAGAAGAATATTCCTTAGGGTAATACTTTGATTTATTTTCCTATGTGGGTGGGTGTGGTTGAAAGAATATCTTTGTTCCAGAAACACTTTGTTGACTTTTGCTAAACAAATGTGCAACTTATTCAATCTTTACTCATTCCACTTTTTTTTTTTTTTTTTTTTGGTACCAGGGGTAGAACTCGGGACCTTGTGCTTGTGAGGCAGGCAGCAGTACCTCTGAGCTAAATCCCCAGTCCATTAGTATTCATTCTTAGATGTATCTGCTACACCATTTATAAATTAGAAAGGGGACTATGTCTTACATAGCATTAATTGGCAGCCGTTGTTTCCTTTGCATGGGAGTCTTTATTTATATGTATATGAAATGCATAAGGAGGAAAAGAGTAAGTGAACAATTTAACTAAAAATTCTTGAAATGGTTGTTTACTTTTATTTGTTTTCTAAGTGTACTAGTGCAAAATAAACATGCCAGCTCTTGGAAAATCTTTTATAGCTGCATCAGAAGGAAGTCTTAGGAGGCCAATACAGAATCATAGTTTTAGATATGGGAAGCTATCTCAAATCCATAATTTTATAATCTGTTATACATACTTTTCCTATTAAAGTGAACACATTTTATCGTGAGGGAAAAAAAAAAAAAAGGACTCTATTCTGAGACTAGTGGCACTGGCCTGTAATCCCAGAACTCAGGAAGCTGAAGCTCAAGGCCAGCCTGAGCTACACAGTGAGAACCTGACTCAAAAAAAAAACAAAAAACCAAAAAATTCTTATCTGCCTAAGGTACAGTGAAAAGACTGGGGGTTGGGGGGGGCTCTGCTTGGTGAAACCGACCCAGCTGACTTGGCTGTTCTGGGGCTCCTCCTTCCTCTAGGTTCTCTTTACTCCTCACGGTAACTTCCACAGGAGTTAACTTCCCTAGCGGCTGTTCTCTGGCTTTGTACATATGAAAAAACAGTTCCTCTAGGGATATCTAATTATAAAGTCGGAGATTTGCCTCTAAACAATTCCAAACTTCTGGTCCAAATGGGTGGTTCTGTTCATAAGCAACACACTTATTAGAATTTTTTGTTTTGGCATTGCCAAACATTGCAAAATTAGTACAGATCCTGGCTGTGCCTCTCATCACTGAGTGTGGAAAGAGTTGGGGGGGGTGCGGGAATATCAGACTTGCAAAATTTAGGACTGGCTTTGTTTCCTGCTACATGAGTAGAAAGTTGACGTAAGTGAAAGGTGCATTGATAATATTAAATTGTTACAAGAATTGAGTGTTTCTAAATAATAAGCTACTTTAACCACAGTAGAGTAAATTTGGCTTATAACTTGGCTAAGTACCAGAGTTCTCCATGAAGTATATCATATTTAATTTGATCCAAGGTTGCTATCTTCATCCCTAATATTATAAACTAGTTAAATCCCTATTATCTTTACTGTTATTATTGAGACATTTTGTCATAATGAAAAGTTCATCAAAATCAATGTTAAAGATGGTGTGAGGAAGGCCAGGGATTTACTTCAGTGGTTCTGCCACCTGCCTCGCAAGTACAAGGACCTGAGTTCGATCCCTAGTACAAAAAAAAAAAAAAAAAAAAAA